GCAGGACGTGCCATGCCACACAGAGGCCGCGGCTGCCAGCTGGTCCTCACCCAAACAGTCGTGTGTGGAAGTCACAGGCAAACGGGCAGGAGGGGTCTTTGTAGGCTTTAAAACTGGATTCTAGTCAGGGTGGCACGACTCAGTTTGCCTGAAGTGGGTGGATCCACTTGGTGCAGTGAATTTKTATCAGTTATTAAAGGACACTGCCGCAGAGCCGTGGGGTGGCCTGAGCCAGGTCTCCAGCAGGTGGCAGTGTTGGACATACCAAGTGGGAGCTGCCAGAAACCCTCACCAGCCGCGAGGTGGGCGGGCAGGGCACCCGGCCAGCAAGCCACCGTGCAGCGCTGCCCCTGGCCCTGACAGGAGGAGCTGGGGTCACAATCTGAAAATGGCTCATTGAAATTGGGAGTGGGCAAAGGGAAGGGCTATAGTTAAAATGGCTACAATTTGATCTTACTTCCCAATTAAGGCTGAATACTACATTCTGAAAATGGACACCCAGACTTCTATTTCTCACAGCAGGATCCGGGGCCACAGGGGTACGTTTTTAGGGGGCCTTCTATGGGGGCCTGTGACCTGGCCAGCAACCTGAGTGTGCCAGGGTCACAAAGCAACTGCTCACGGAGCCCCGTGGCTGAGAGCCACCAAGCTCCATACTGCCCTCTGGTGCCCATGCGTGGAACCGCAGAGCCAGGCCTCGGGAGTGCAAGACAGACTTTAAGAGGAGACCAGGATACTCAGGGCTTAAAACTCCAAGCCTGGTGCCAATAAATAAATAAATAAATACCCCAAGCCTGCATGTCCACAGGGATGGCCGTGGCTTTAAAATGCATATTTAACAGTTCCACCTCTTTGCTGTTCTTGTGTGTTTGGGGACTTTGGTCCCTTTCCTGCAGTTATTCACGAAATACCCGACAGTGTGCTGTGGTCCCTCCGGTCTGATCTGCACAGGTGCTGAAATACCACACTGTGTCGGGTAAATATGAGCAATTATCATGCGATGGTCAAAATTATTTGAATGTTTAAGGAGACGGAAATGTTAACTACCTGGATTTGGTCAGCACACACAGTGTATATGAAGTTCTCACACAGTACTCCATAAACTTGTACGACTAAAACAATAGTTAGAAAATATCTATATAAGTTCTTTAAAGACAGCAGCAACGCAGCCCGTGTTGGTGGAGGCCCGACCTCTCCTACGGGGACATGGCAGGGCTGTGTCCCTGCTCCCGTGTATCTGCAATGCCTTCCTGGACATAAGGCCCCTGGGTCTGAACACAAGCACATTTGAAATGTCACTGCACATTTGTGACATCCTTTCAGCACCAGGTCTCTTTTCTCTTAGGTGCGTTTCCAAGAAAGCCCCTGTTCTCTGCCCACCCAGGTCTCCTGGTAACTCTGGGAGACGAGGGGACCCTCCATTGTGAGTCAGACTTGGGGACTCGACTTCTGTCCCAACAGCAAGAGGAAGCCCCCACTCCAGACTGTGGTCAACTGAAAGRTAAGGGACTCCTCCCCTGGGCTGTCTCCACGGACCTGCCAGTTCTGACGGTTTCCTTCTCAAGGAGCCATTCGAAGTGTGGCCACTCCTGACTGGCCTCTTCCTCCAGGGTTCTCGGGGTGCCCGTCTTGTGGCATGTTCCGTCCCTCTTTTTTAATTGGGGTAAAATGCACATCACATAAAATGTGCACGTCGCATTGCCACCAAACACACTCCCGCTGCCCAGCAACCRTCTCCACCGTCCACCTCCAGGGCCATTTTCATCTCACAAAGCTGAAACTCTGGGCTGGGGTGTGGCTGGTGGTAGGGCACTTTCCCTGCGTGCGCAGGCCCCGGGTTCCGTCCCCAGCACCACAGAAAGCACCCTGAAAACTCACCCATCCAAAAACGCCCCGCTCGCCCCTCCAGTCACAGGCCCACCATCCTTCCTGCGGTCTCTGAGGTCTCTTTTCCTTTCTGTGACTGGCTCGTGTCACTTAGCATAACCCCTCAAAGCCCACCCACCTGCAGCATATAGCAGGGTCTTCTCCTTTCTAAGGCGGAACATTCCCTCACGCATCTCTACCACATTTTGCTCATCCGTCATCTGTAGTAGACATTTAGTTGTTCCCATCTTTGGGTATCCTGAGTGTYGTGCTATGGACGAGGGTGTAGGAATACCTCTTTGATATCTGCCTTCAGTTTGTCTGTACATATGACCAGAAGTGGAATTGCTGTACTATGAGCTACGGCTACATCCCATTTTATTTTTTATCTTGAAACAGGGTCTCTGTAAGTTTCCCAGGCTGGCCTTGAACTTGKGATCCTCCTGCCTCCGTCTCTGGGGTAACCAGAATTACAGATGTGCACCACCACGCCTGGCCTTCAATTCCATTCTGAATTTTTTTGAGGAAAGTTTTATTTTTTTTTATTGTCTAATAACATATAGCTGTATGGATATGTTGAGATTTGTTTCCTTACTCAACTGATACAATCAAATGTTAATTGATTGTGAGGCTATTGTGAATCATGSCTACTTTATGGCTATTATAAATGATATACTAAGAACTTTCACAGAAATCAAGACAGTGCAGTTTTAGTAAAAAGCTGATCACAGACCTAGAAAGAACAGAGAGCCCAGAGACTAACACAAATATGACCACTTATTTTTTTGACAAAGGAGCCAAAAAAAATTCAATGGAAAATGGAGAATTTACTTAGCAAATGGGATTAAAGAATTGGATAACCATATGCAATAAAATAACTTAGATTCAARTCCCACACCTCCTACAAAAATCCACTCAAGGTGGGTCTCTTTCCACTGATTTTTGTCTTCTTCCATTTCTTTCATTAGTTTTGTAATCATCAGAGCACAGATTTTTCACTTCCTGGTTAATTTAGTCTTGAGTATTTTTGATGCCATCACAAATGGGATTGTCTTCTTGCTTTCCTTTTTGGGTAAGTTGTTCTTTGTGTAAAGCAATGAAACTGATTTTTGCAGGCTGAGGGCTTGCGGTCTTTGGAGTTTCCGACATGTGCGTTGCATCATCTGCAATAGAGATAGCTTCAGTTCTTCTCTGATTTATGAGATAGCTTCAGTTCTTCTCTGATTTATGTGCCTTGTTTCTTTTTCTTGTCCGATTGCTCTTGCTAGTGCTTCTAGTAACAAAGTGGGATAGAGGGCCTCTTCATCTTGCTCCTGATCTCCAGGGGAAAGCATCCAGTCTCCCACCGTGCGGAATGTTCTTTTATCAAGCTGCAGGATGCCTTCTGTTCCTARCTTGCTAGTACTTTCTTTCGTCATGAATAAGTGCTGGGTTTTGTCACACACCTTCTCTACATCAGTTGATAAGATCACGTGGCTTGTATTACAGGGTCCTCAGGGAATCTGAACCCATAGGGTACGGAGAGATTTGTCGTGAGGAATTGGCTCGGGCATGATGGAGACTGAGAAGCGCCATCATCTACCTTCTGCCCCTGGACACCTGGGACGACCAGTGGTGTGACATGCCCAGGTCCAGGGGTCTGAGAGCCGGGAGGCGATGAGCCAGGATGCTCCAGATCCAGCAGAGAGGCAGCAGGAAAGGCAGGACTGCCCTCTCCTCTGCCTCTTGCCCCACTCGGGCCCTCCATGGACGGGATGATGCCCCCCACTGGGAGGGTCCGTGGATAAGTGACAGACCCACCCAGAGTGAGGCTCCTGTGGGCACCAATGGCCCCGGAGGCCCACGCAGCATCACCATCTCAGGACTCTGGCCCCGTATGGCAATGCAGGGGGTCCCTCCTGCTGAGCCAGGCCTCCACCAGGAACCCCAGCAGGATCAGCAGGATGACACCTCCCAGGCTCAGCCTGAGCATGTTCACCTTGTAGGAATTCCAGGAGGCAGACCCTGCAGAGAAGAAACGGGTGGGGTGGGGGTTCCAGGATGGAGAATCACGCCCCAGAAACACACACAGAGCGGACTGTGAGCCCAGCCAGCTGCCCAGGGAGTTGAGGTCCCGGTTCCCAGGTGGTGTGGCTACGCAGGTGGCCCCTTGCACAAGGCACCTGGCAGAGGTGGTGAGGAGGTGCTGAAGCTGGCCCAAACCCCTGCTGGACACCTGCCTGTCTGAAGGACTGGGCCCCAGATAAAGTCACAGGAACTAGGGGACCACCTTCTCCAGGGCTGGTCTACCAAGGCCATGTCCTCTGGTTTTTTGAGAGACTGCTACCCCCACAGGACCCTGCCCTGTCCCCAGAAGCTCTGGGTCACCCCCTCAGCACTGGGCAAGTGGACAACCCTGGATCCTGCAGAGAMGGTGGGCCGTGGGGCTCACCTCTTCCTGAGAGCCTCAGGGGCTCACTGGGGTCTGACCACAGCGAGGGGGAGGAACTTAGAGAACCGTAGCATCTGTAGGTGGCCCCGCGGGCCTGCTCGCTGGCRTTCAGGGTGAAGTTGGCCTGGAAGAACCCGCGTTTATACTGAGATCTGAGGCGCTGGGTGACGTTGGCACTGCCCTCCTGGGACAGGAGGAACAGGTCGAACCACATCTCTGAGCGGCACTGCAGGGTCGTCATATGCTGGGGTGCCCCAGAGGGGCCCTGAACAGCCAAGAGCTGAGGCTCTTTGTACACTCCTAGAGGGAGAAAGCCACAGTGAGTGCCCGTGTGGCCCTCCCTCACCCAGCCTTCAACACCCTGCACGGGCCCTCTGTCTCCCAGGCTCCTGCCCTGGCCTCCCCTCTCCCTCTGCCATCCTCTGGCAACCCGTTCCCCCATGGCCACCACAACCCTTTTTCCAACCAGGTGTGGCTCAGTGGTGGAGCACAAGCTTGCTGTGCACCAGGCCCTGGGCTCAATTCCCAGAACCCAATGAAAAGGCACAAAGCACATTTGGTGCCCAGGCTGCGCAGACCACCGGTGGGGTGGACCTGGCCCCGGGCTGTCCTGGGCGCAGTCCAAAGTCACTGGATGGAGATGGACGAGACAGCGAGATATGAACCCACGACTCGGAGACACAAGACAACGATACCCTGTTTGTAAAGCCAGGCCTGAAAGGCACAGGTGGTGGGCCTGCAGGTGCCGGCTTCTGCGGGCAGAGTCCCTGAGGGCCAGGGGACAAGCGAGCCCAGATGCGGGCTGAGCACAGGATCCCAGCCGCTGAGCATTAGTAACAAACACCCGCAGCGTCCACAGCGGTCCCTGCGCCCTGAGCGGGGTGAGGGCGTCAGCAGGATGGCTCGCTGAGCCTCACCAGGGGAGGAGAACCCCCAGCCAGCGGGATGTTGTGGGGTGGAAGGGAGAGGGGAGGGTCAAGGCACACCCCAGGCCTGCGCTGAGCAGTCCAGCCTCAGAGGCGCCCACGAGAAGGGAGGAAGGGCCCCCGGGTTTGAAGGACTCTTGGTGAGCTGAGCGCAAAGTCCTTGTTCGCGTCCACAAAACGTGTCACTAGGCAGAGGGCTGGATCATTGTCCTGTGCCTCCACCCACCAGCGGCCAGCAGGGAGACCACCTGCCCAGCCTGATGATTCTTAGGGCCCACAGCACACCCTTCAGATCCAAGCCAGCCAGAGCCCCGGCGGCCAGCACTCCTCCCAGGTATCGCCCGGCCCCCTGAGGGCCAGCAGCCCCACACCAGAGCCGCTGAGCCCACTCTAACCACCACCCCACACCGCTGCCCTGCCCTCCCGGCTCTGCCTCCTCTTGGCCCTGCATCTGGGCAAGCTCCGGGCCTTGGCCCTGCCTCTCCCTGGCCACCGGCTCCTGATCTGTGGCCTCACAACACKTGAGTAATAATGAGACCCCCATTTTACAGCAGCCAGCGCCACCCAGCCAAGATCAGCGGGTGAGGGGAGGGTAGAGGTATCCAACAAAGGTTGGGAGGCCATGTTGTCCCCAGGCCAGTCTCCTGGGGCCTCGCAGCTGAGCAGGGGCCGGTTCACAGTGCAGGAGTGAGCGGGTGGTGGGACTGCTCAGGGACCAGCCACCATCCCTCCTTACACCGCCCCCCCAGGGCTGCCAAGTGCCCTGGGAGCCAGGTTCCCACGGCCACTGGACAGAGCTTCCTCACCTGTGACCATCAGCTCCAGGAGGTTGCTGGGAGCTGACCACTCGTGGAGGGAGGTGTTGACAGAGCCGTAGCATCTGTAGGTCCCCCCGTGGGCCCGGGTGGCAGGGGATAAGAGGAACTTTCCCTGGCCGCCTTGGATGGAGCCTGCAGGCAAGGCCGGTTCTRCTCCCTTGGACAGAAGGAACACGTCATAGGCGCTTGGCAAGTGACAGTGAAGGGTCACGCTCCCTCCTAAAGCCACCATGGGGCCGGGCTGGACCGAGAGGGTGGGTTTGTCCTTGGAGACACCTGGCGGAAAAGAACCCTGGTGTTACAAGGAGCATGAGGAGCCACGAGGAGCCACAGAAGCCACAAGGAGCCACAGAAGCCACAAGGAGCCACAAGAAGCCACCGGGAGCCACAAGGAGCCACAGAAGCCACAGGCTCCCATCAAGGCCGAGAGGAGAGTCAGGTTGCAGAGCCTGGGCTGGCCTCTTGTCTCCACCAGGACGACGGCCATGGCACGGCCCTGCCCAAGACCCCAGAAGGCAGGTGAACCAGGCCAGGCCCCCAGGGTCTCTGTGGCTGGTGCGGGGAGGGGTCCATTCATCACCTTTCTCTCTTTTTTAATGGAGGTGAAATTCCCATAATGTAAAATTAACCCACTTCAAAGTAAATAATTCAGAAGCATTTAGTACGTGTACAAAACTGGGCCATCACCTCCTCTCTCCAGGTCCAACAGAGGAACCCTGTGCCCAGAAAGCTGTCACATGGTCACCCCTCGCCCCTGCTGTGACCACTCATCTGCTTTCCGTCTCTGTGGACTCATCACCGAGGTGCCACTACGTTGCGCAACGTGTCAGTGTGCAGTTCTCTAGTGGCCAAGTAACAATCCATTGTGTGATAGGCCACAGGTGGCTTCTCCATTCAGTCCACGGAGGGACACTTGGGTTGTTTCCACCCTTTGAAACCTGCCCTGGCGACCACGCGGCGTGTGGCCTGGTGAGTCCCTGGGGAACACGTGGCCTGTGGCCATGTGGGTCTCTGGTGACCATGCCGCATGTGGCTGTGTGTGTCCCTGGGGAACACGCAGCATGTGGCCGTGTGCCTCCCTACTTCAGTTCTCCGAGGCCACACCTGCATTTTCTTCTCTCACACACTCCAGGTGATGCTGACGTTGCCGTCCATGCTGGGACGCTAACAGGGCCACAGTGGCCCAGGAGCCTCCCGAGCTTCTCTTCATTTGCCCAAGACCCAGATTCTGGCCCTGTTCTGGGGTGGGGCTGAGCCATCAGGTGACCAGTGGGGGACGGCAGCAGGCAGCTGGCAAGCACAGCGAGGGCAGGGGTGGACAGAGGAGGACGGGGCCCGGAGGGACAACAGGAGGAGCCCTCACCCACGACCAGCAGCTCCAGAGGGTCACTCCTCTCGGACCAGCTGTCCTGCATCTTGTACTGACAGACATACGTCCCCGAGTGGCCGGGCGTGGCACGCTGGAGGGAGAACGCGGCCTCAGCCTGGGCGTCTCCCAGGCTTTCTTCAGTCCACACGCGGGAGCCTCCCACTTGCTGCAGACGCAGCCGAGCTGTCCCAGGAGGCCCTCTGCAGAAGATGGACACAGGGCTCCCCTGGGGGACCACCGGACCTGGCACCGCCCGGATGGAGGGCTTGGGGAGAGACCCTGGAAGGGAGACAGAGCCGAGACAGAAGGTCCAGACGCCAGGAAGCCCCTCTTCATGCTCGCCTGAGAGGCCCAGGAGCCCAGGGGTGAGCTCTCCCCGTCCACTTCCTGTCCACGGCCTTGGCCATGTCTCAACAGGGACGAGGCAGACCCTGCGTGCACCCGTGGGGTTTGCCTCAGCCCCGTCCCCCACCAAGCACTGCCCTGTCCCCTGGCTCCCCAGCCCTGTCCCCCACCAAGCACTGCCCTGTCCCCTGGCTCCCCAGCCCCGTCCCCCACCAAGCACTGCCCTGCCCCCGGCTCCACAAGCTCTGGCCCACCTCATCCTCCCCGGACGCTCTTTCTCTATCTCTGCACTCTCTTCTGCCCAACCTCCAAGTTGTGCAGCAGCTC